GCCCTGTGGCCACCAGCATTCCTGCCTGGTGCTGGGGCTCCTGGTGTCCAGCTGTCCCTCTGGGATAAGACCAGTGCAACTGAAGCTGCTCAGCTGAATGGTAGAAGTGATGAACCAGCTGAGCCCAAGATAAAAAGATCAGATGCACATGGAAAGAGAAGCTCCAAATGAAAGCAGAAACTGAACTGCAAAGCATTAGTGCTTACAGGAGGGGAAAAAATAATCAAAAGAAAAATAATTTAAAAGAAAGTCCCAAGACCACAGGGGGAAGCAGCACCCCCAAGCCTGTCAGCTTCTCTCCCCTACACCTGACACAAAGCTTGAGTTACCTACACATAAAGCTTCCCAAGAAGGATTTTGCAGAAGACAAACTTCAATGATCTTACAAATTCCATTACACCCTCCAGCTCCCTCAAATTTCCAAAGCCACAAGGAGAGCATCTTATGGGGCACCAAATGTATTTGGTGTCTAAGATCTAAGATTTAGTTATCTCAAATTTCCAGCACATTAACTTCTCCTGACATTTGGAACTCCAGCTCATTTGTACTCCATTCTTCATCATCTGCAAATGCCCTTTATCAGACCTTTTCTCATGGTACATGAAGCAGAAAAGGGCTGGTGCATTTTCTCAGAGTGACAGGAAATACTCGTTGGGTTTTTTTCCATCACTGAAAGATGGAAATGACAGCTGAAAAACAAGGAACTTGCTGTTCTACCCTCAGTCCAGGGTGAACGTCATGCAACAAGCACTGAGAGGAATTTGCCATTTGGCTCTTGGGGAGGAAACTAATAGTCACACTTCCCAAGTTCCACCTTTCCAGCTGTCTTAGAAGAGTGCAAATATTCCCTCTCTCTGCCTGCCTTTAAAATAGGTATATTTTTTCAGTTAAGGGAAAAAGGCAAAACTTAAGATTTGTGATCAGTGCTGTGCCTGAGAAGGCTCCAGGGAGACCTCAGAGCACCTTCCAGTGCCTGAAGGGGCTCCAAGAAAGCTGGGGAGGGACCTGGGACAAGGACATGGAATGAGGGGACATGGGGCAGTGGATTAAAACTGGAAGAGGGGAGACTGAGGTGAGACATGAGGAGGAAATTCTTTGGTGTGAGGGTGGTGAGAGCCTGGCCCAGGTTGCCCAGGGAAGCTGTGGCTGCCCCATCCCTGGCAGTGTTGAAGGGCAGGTTGGATGGGGCTTGGAGCAGCCTGGGCTGGTGGGAGGTGTCCCTGCCCATGTAGGGGGGTTGGAACTAGATGATCTTTAAGGTCACTTCCAACTCAAACCATTCCATGATTCTATAGTAATTTCAGCTTAACTGACTCCAGCACAGCTCAGTCTGTTCCAGGACAGCTCAGCCCTGAGATCTCATCCCCAAGTCCTTTCTCCTAGTCCTTCCCCAGTTATGTTCCTTGGCAGAGAACAGGCAGCAACATTCCCTGCACCATTTCAAACCTCTGTTCCTGTCACTTCTGATCTCAACTGTATCACTCGTTCCTCCTTCCAGCAATTTCACACAGTCCTGTCAACAGCAAGACTGCCAGGAGAGACACAGGCAGATGGAAATCTCTGAAGCAGAAAGGCAGCACCAAGGGAATGAAAGCAGAAGGCTCTGGTGAGCAGCATTATGGAGCAATGGCAGCTGGTGAGACATTGAGCAATGGGTAAGTGCTTTGCTTTCATCAACTCCACTCCAGATACAAGCCAATAAAACAGATGCAAAACTAAAAATTAACCTTATTAATGGTGTAGGCTGTTTCAACAGGAATGGAAAAATACTGTAAATTCCCTTTTTAAAAGTCTTCCAGTCTTCACTTCTCCATGTTAGCAGTGACTGAGAGTTAATGCAAAAGGAGCTCAACCAGGAATTTATCTCCATCATACAAGAGTTTGAAAATTAAGAAGTTTAACTGAAATGTCATTTATGGAACAGTGCAAAAAAGCTCCACAGTGGTTTCACACAGGATAACTTCTGGTGTGTGGTCAAAGGCAGCTGCAAAATGAAGTCACCCAGGACAAGCATTATGCCATGGCATTCACTAAAGCTTTCCAGCCTGTTGATCTGATTGAAATTTGAAATAGATTGAAGGAAATTAATCTTTGAAAGGCAACCACTGTTATAAATGCCAGAAGAAAATCAATTTACTTGGCTTTATTCAAAACTGGAAGAGGGGAGATTGAGGTGAGACATGAGGAGGAAATTCTTCCCTGTGAGGGTGGTGAGAGCCTGGCCCAGGTTGCCCAGGGAAGCTGTGGCTGCCCCATCCCTGGCAGTGTTGAAGGGCAGGTTGGATGGGGCTTGGAGCAGCCTGGGCTGGTGGGAGGTGTCCCTGCCCATGCAGGGGATTGGATCTAGATGATCCTTAAGGTCCCTTCCAAACCAAACCATTCTATGATGTAAACATTCCATATACATCTCATATTTTCAGCTTTGTGCAGGTGGAAAATCATTTGGGCAAAACAAATTGTGTCCTGTGTTGTGCTGAGCACTGGTCATTATGAACCAGAGGGGGCACCAGCAGGGCCTGCAAGAACAAAAACCATTAAGGTCAAGTTTTCAGCTGCCACTTTTTGGCTGGGTGGGTTTTTCAACAGACTTTGCAAGTTATTTTAGTCTTTAAGAGCCAAAGCTCTCCAAGCATGCACAGAACTGGCTCTGATGGTGACCAGGAAAACAGGAGGCAAAGTCACCTCAAACTGAAAATGACACAAGGTTTGGTTTTGATGTTGGGAGCCCTTGTTGGGGCTGCTCTGCAGGGAGGAGAAAGGAAATCAGAATCAATTTATTTCTGAGAAAGAAACACTGGGTTTGAATGGTCAGCATAATACTTTGTGGGCCTAGTTTTTGGAAGTCAAATCAACTAACCTTTTTATTCTGAAAGAGAATTCTAAGAGTTTAGCATCTCCAAAGAATAAAATCTAAATCATCTCCAAGAAGAGACCCTTGGGGATGGATGGCACAAATCCAAATCCAAGAGTTGAAAGTTTGGACTTGTCACTTATCATTTGAAAACTACACACCAAAATCTCCATTCCAGGGTGAAACCTGTTTCCAAGCTTGTTGGGCTCAATATAGAGATGAAATAGAGAAGGAAGATAAAAAGAAAAATTAAAAAAAAAATAAATAAATCAAACTTCCACAAGGAATCATCTCCATGCAATGAACCACAGCACCACAGCCTGCAAAAGCCACTTACTTTTCTCCTAGAGTCACCCGGAGGCTGCTCTGGAGTAAAGAAATTAATTGTTCACCATGTTGTGTTCAACAGATTCCCATTAAAAACAGAGTTGGAAAACTGAGTAAATAACCCTGCAGGATACTATTTTGTACCAAATACATACCATTTTTTTAGACAAAGACATTTCATTTACATAGAAAGGTAGAGGACTAATCAAGCTGTAGTACAAGGATGGGAATTAAAGGGAATCAAACTGTGCTACTGGTCACACATTCAGCAGAAATGTGACTTTTTTTTAAGTTATACTTCAAAACACATTAAAAAATTACATTTCTCCTTGGCTAAAATACAGAAGAAACTATCTAAAGTTTATTTAAAGTGAAAATTCTTCCCCTGCACCTGGCAGCTCAAGATCCAGACACCTTTGGTCTGCTCTGATCCCCTTCCAGGCCACTCAGCAGGAGTTCTGGATCCTATTGGGCAATTTTACTCATGATGGTTAAGAAATACAGAATGTAGGGTCAAAAATAGTTCTGCCACCAACATCAAACTACTTTTCCAATAATTTGATGTATCTTGGACAGTTCCATATTCATTTTACATGGTCAGCAAGCTTGAATAACCAGATCTAGTGCTATAGCCAGTTAATTCATTTTACATGGTCAGCAAGCTTGAATAATAACTGGCTATAGCACTAGATCTGGTTAATGTCATTTACTGTCACCAAATTAACAGACCTCACAGCTAAAATAAAACAGTTTAAACAATAGTGAGAGGAAAACTTACCTCCAAACAGTTCAAACTCTCTTAAGCCCTCAACGATAAACTTCTCAGACACCCACCTCTGAAAGAAAAAATAGAACCCCCAGATAATCAGAGAATCCAGCCAGAGACAAGTTCCTTTCACCTTCCCCACAAAAAAAAAGTAGCACTTTAAGGATTCTATTGTGGTCTGAGAGTAATGAGCTGCAGCAGCAGAGTGACAGCCTTGATTTCATCATAGTCATGGAATCATGGAATGGTTTGAGTTGGAAGGGACCTGAAAAATTATCCAGTCCCAAGCCCCTGCACGGGGACACCTCCCACCAGCCCAGGCTGCTCCAAGCCCCATCCAACCTGCCCTTCAACACCCCCAGGGATGGGGCAGCCACAGCTTCCCTGGGCAACCTGGGCCAGGGTCTCACCAGCCTCACAGCAAAGAATTTCTTCCTGAAGTCTCGCCTCAATCTCCCCTCTTCCAGTTTTCATCCATCTCCCTCATCCCATCCCTCCCTGCCCTTGTCCCAGGTCCCTCCCCAGCTTTCCTGGAGCCCCTTCAGGCACTGGAAGCTGCTCTAAGGTCTCCTTGGAGCCTTCTCTTCTCCAGGCTGAACACCCCAACTCTCCCAGCCTGTCCCAGAGCTGCTCCAGCCCTCCCATCATCTCCGTGGCCTCCTCTGGACTCTCTCCAGGAGCTCCATGTCCTTTTTCTGTTGTCCCCAGAAGTGGACACAGTGCTCCAGGTGGAGTCTCATAAGGATATCCCCTTCTGGTGCCACCAGGATGGCACCTCCCAGCAACCACCCTTTGGCTGCTGCTCCTCCTGACCAGCATGCACACACCATCAAATTAACTTAATTAGAGATCATTCCAACAAGAAACTCCATACATGCACATGCAGCAAAAAACATAAACATGCTACAGCTCCCTTAACAGGCAAATAAAATCTGTTTGTCTGGCTGCAACAGGTGTAGAAAAACAAAGCTTCAGCTCTTTACAATGAGGTGATGTCTGAGAGAATGTAAATATTTTGGCTATGTAGCTGTTGAGTGCAAAACTAGAGCATCAATATTTTAAAGCTGTTGCTATCTTCCATGCTTCAAATTCACAGCAAGCAGTAGGTTGTGCAGAGAAACGTTTCCACCACTTTATTCCACTCTGTGATTCAAAGGAAAATACATATTTACTCACACATGATGCACAAGAGAAGTTTTAGGTTTGTGGAGTGTTGATTGTTGTTAGCATCAAATAATCACAAACACTCCCACTTTAGAATTAAGTCTACTTGGTAAGATAATTTCTCAAGATGTTTAGTGCAAGAGCAGCCAGTCCTGGAAAGCATCAAGGAGTCTTTAGGTGACAATGACTCAAAACTCGTATCTAATAATTCCCTTTAAAGGCATGAAATGGGGTTTTCTCACATGAAACTTGCTCACTTAAAAATGCAGAAGCAAACAAAGCTGGTGTGTTGAGCTTTCCAAGCTAAGTTTAGGGAAAAAACCCCACAAGCTGTTGGTGCTGTGACCTCGGTGAGGGAGCCGCTTCACCAAGGGGGGCACTAATCATCATTACCGCCCTTCTCCTTAATTGCGGCGCCCATTACAGCCCCGCCCACAAAGGAGATGCGGGTGTGTAAGCAAGAAATGCCTAAGAGGAGGTTTTTTTAATTAGCACTTCGCTCGCACATCGATCCCCCCCCCCATAATGGGACTCTGAGGTGCTTCCCGGCCCCGCTGCCGCTTCTCTGCACAAGCCCCAGATTGTACCGACAGTGAGGGAAGCTGAAGGTGTTCAACACTCACCCTAATCCGTTCGGGTTTACTTACAAGAAAAGACATGGAATCCGCGCTTGTTTTTACCTCACGGAGCTCGTGAAAGGCCGGGCCCACCTAAAGCAGCGAGAGCGGGGCAGCCCTTCACCCGGGGCCGAGCGCAGGGGCTGCGCTCACCCACCCAGCCCTCGGGGCTGGGAAGCTCCGGGCCAGAAGGCCCTCCCGGACCCTCCCCGGACCCTCTCGAGACCCCCGGACCCTCCCCAGACC